ACATATCCGATAGGCCTGTTGTTTTCTCGGCCGCGATATTGGCCTTCCCAACTTTTGCTGTCTTGTGTTGGTCGTGACTATCTTGAAGCCAGAGATATACAGCGCGCCGTGGCGACATGTCAAGACTTGCTCCAGACTTCAAGGGTGCAGCGAAACGCAAAAGCAGCAGCCCACGCTCATCTAAGCGTACACACAAGCACCCCGTCGTAATTCTTAGATCGTCGAAACCAGGCGGCCATGGTCGAGCACTCCGAGCGTGCGCAACGCGAACCATTTCCGGCAAAATACAGGGAAAGGCTGAGCCAGCAGAGGAGGAGAGGGAGGCCTGGTCACCTTGGCCACGCTTTTCGCGCTGCCTCCAGTGCCCGGGCGGTTCATCCCTCGGTTTCGCGCCCCACGCTTTCATCTGTGGTTGCTCCTCAACGGTCTATCCGTGAATCGCGCGCGCCTATTGGGCTCCGTTACTCCTTTTCAGGTAATTTTGCCTTAGGATGTACTGTGGCATGTAGTCATGTTCTCACGTGAGACGCATCTCATGATTATCATCTTTGCACCAGTCACATACCTTCATCATCCATGGGCGTCACGTAATACCAAATTTGGCATATGTGAAGCTAGCGAAATGACCGTCAGCGCATCATGAGCATGGCATGTAGTCATGTTGTTACATGATATGCATCTCATGATTATCATGATTGAACCAGTCACACACTTTCGTCATTCATTCACGTACTGAAATACCCAATTTGGTATTTGCGACGCTAGCGAAACGGCCATGAGCGCATCATGCGCATGGCATGTAGTCATGTTGTTACATCACTCGCATGACATTATTTTCATGTTATGGTCTGTAACTTGCGTTCGCCATGCAAAATGCTATACCCTACCAGTTTTTCAACATTCCTTGCGAACGAAACCACAGCAAGAGCTGCAGGACCATGAAATATAAATCAAGACATTCATGACATCCATGTCATGATTTTCTTGTTACGACTAGTCAAGTATGTTCTGCATACAGTCATTTTATTTCATATCAAGTTTGGTATCGATACCATTATCGAAACGGCCAGGAGAGCTAAAAGTCGTAGGCGGCTAGATAGATAGATAGATAGATAGATAGATAGATAGATAAGATAGATAGATAGATAGATAGATAGATAGATAGATAGATAGATAGATACGCTCAAAGTCACCGAAGTTCGCTAAGAAATGCTTCGCATTTAAAACAACAAAACAAGTGGACTGAGGACAAGGTAAAGTTTACCGGTGGTTACTGTCGAGTTTATGATCCATTTCTCGCTCGTACTAAACGGCGACATCTGCTTAGGCTTTATGACGCCTCTAGGCTCATTTGATAGATATGCCCACACAAGTGGTAGAATAATGCGATGTTTTTCGCGTGATGTGCAGCGCAGTGTTGTAGCTGTATCATTAGCAACAATTACATAACAGCTTGGCCAAAACGAATGCAGTGCGCAGGGAACATTATGCTATCATATTGGTTCAGTAAGCATACGATTGGACAAGTCTGTGTTCTCGCATAAAAGCCAGAGATGTGGCAGCAAGTTCAACCGGCGGCAGTCAATGACGAGCGGCGTACGCTGTTGGAAGCGCTGGCACCGTGTTGCATCGATGTTTGTCGCTTCTTCCGCGGACTTTGCGCGCTACAAAAAACGCTTTGTTTAGATTAAATGATGCCACGGCCGTGCTGTATTGTGGCTCTTACTCATCGAAATGTGTATTCTGACACCGAGAAGCGTGGATGACACTTGTGCGGGCTCGGTCGGTCAGCCTAACCTTGGGTGGGAATCATAGTGGTAGAATAAATGGGTGATAGTCAAACTTGCTGGGACTCGTCCCTACGTATGTTGAAAGTAGAAGTTTATGCATTTTAGCGTCGCACGCACTTTGTTAACTTGAAAGTACAGCTCAAGTAATTGGGTGTGCAAGAATTACCCGAGTTGCGTTTCTAGCTTGGCGACATCAAGCGACCACTGTATTAAAGCGACCACTGCAGCTCATTTATTTCTCAATAACCACGCGGCGATGTAACAAGTTTACTGTCGCTGTTCACAGCAACACCTCTAGTCTCCTAAACATCAAAACAAAGCACGACTTCGCGCATGTCAAACTGATGTATACGTGCACGATGTAAACATTCACGGCCACATTCTACGCTCCGCTAAAATTCAAGCGTTGTTGACACCACAGGAAAAAACAACGTGCTAGAAAGCGTAATAAGTGGCTTTGGTTTCTTTCGACCGGAAATATATTTCTCTGCGCATTTCACAGCGAAACACTACGAATAATTAGGTGATTTCACATGCTGCCATCTGCTTTTTTATTATGATACCATAACCAACCAGGCTTCCATCATACCACCGTCATCCAGCTTGTTAACCAAGCCATCCACCAAACACGAATTGAATCGCCACCATCCGCCGACATTTTCCACCATAACCATCATTGGCTTGTCCCCATCACCACCGTCTGCCACCATGTTTTTCACTCTCGCCGTCATCAGCCATCATCACCACTACAGCTTCCACCATATCCACTGTCATTTCCACCATATGTATTATGATTTCCACCATACCGAGTGTTATTTGCATCAGATCTGCCAACGGTACCAGCATCAACCAACCCAGGATTTTCAATAGGGATAGCCTCACGTGGCAGACACAACTCGGTATGGTCGAATGGTAGAAAAGAGGTAAAGGCCAGGAGCTCTGTTCACACTGGCACCAGTTGTAACGTTAGCGAGCCGACCACACTTTGGCGCAATACGACGCATCTTGAGCGTTTCAAACGTTCGGCAGTGCCGAATGACGTCGGATGCAGAACTAAGGACACAGAACAACTAGAAAACTGTACACGTCCTCAGCAATTCCTTTGAGCAGATGACCGACTTTGTCCTCTTCCAACATGTTAGTGCAGACCACTGTGCCCAGCCTACTTCTTCTATGTAAGTGGTGCATGTATCACTTGGTAGCTGTGCCCGTTGCGACAGTGTTTGCTCAGCCTACTTATTTTTAGCAACCGAGTCCTCGAAACACGCCCTGAGCTCTTCAGCGAAAAGGTCCCACATCGTGAGCATGTCCTCGTGGTTCTAGCGTCACACCAATGCGGTGTCGGTCATGAAGAACACCACGTTGGTTAGCTGAGTGGCTGCATCCCAACCGTTGGACTTGCTCACTCGCTTGTACTTGGTGAACCAGGTGTCGACATCTTTTCCGAAATTTCCTCCGAAGGGTGAAGGAACTCTGTAGCATGAAAGTGGACCAGACAGTGGTGTCCTAGGAACGTCTGCTTCTTCGGGCATGTCGAAGACACTCAGGGCAGGTGATGGGACACCAGCCAGTCGATGGCTTCGTCGAAGCTGCAGCAGTCATTCTTCTGTAGTTTAAGCGCTTACCCTGCACCTCCACCACTACGTTTCTCTTCACGGAGACCGTCAAAAGTTGGAAGCGGCCGTTCCGGTCGTGAGACTGAGCTCAGAAGTGGCCGACTGGTTTGAGAACCTCCTGATCCTCTTATTTTTTGCTCAGTCGGAGCGAAAGACGCGTTCACTGTTGCCTTCATTGTCTTCATCCACGTGTGAAACATTATGAAGTTTTTGTTTGTTCAGTTGTACACAGATTCATGACACGGAGTCTTGCACGCTTCCTGCTTCGCTATGTTGGAGGTCATGGGGGCTGTTTAAAATAAATGGTGTTTCGAGATGGCGCTTCTCAATTAATGGCGCTATGCGGTCAGCTAATGGGGAAGTTTCACTGCAACGCTTATGCATGCCCTGACTTTACGAGGTGCCACACGAGCGTTTTGGGGCGGAGGCAGCATTGCTGAGAGATACAAAAAGAGCATGGTCAACCAAATCTGACAGACGCATTATACGAAAGAGAAAAAGTGCTTCTATCGCTTCTTTCTAGGAAAATGCTCGGACGAGTGTGTCGCATGCATCCTCACCGTTTACGTAGCGTCGTATCACGACCCTTTCCTGAACTAAGGAGAACGATGGCTCCCAATCACGAGCGACTGCTTGCACTGGCATTCAAAAAAGAAAGAAAAAGTTGCTTTACCTGAAAGCACACCAAACAGCTGAGGCGTACATGTCTCAGCTTTGAATGAGCCTTGACTGTTGAAGATTACCTCTTGAAATCGAAATTTATTGAATAAATTTGAATTATCCGAAAGCTTAGCGCCGAAAGGTCATTGGAGTATTTTTGAATTTATTCAAAAACACGTAGTCCCGTTCTGGTAGATTAGCCAAAAACAAAAGGTGTGTACATTTTAATGGCTACTTAAGAGCATGACACTGGTATTGTGCAGAAGTACCATGTATACCTCTGTTTTTGGTAAGCCTTCTCTATTGTGTCTATCGATAAATTTATTGCATCGATTGGTGTATGCAGTACTACTACTACCAGTTCTAACAATAAAATAATAATAATAATAATAATAATAATAATATCTTTGCGCAACTGCAAAACTGCAGAAGAGACGTAACGGGAAGTTATATCTACCATAAAACAGCTACACACTTCTACGTATGCTCCTCTGCACTTATGCAGTAACTCAATAGTGAGCATCTGGTGTCGTGTTGTCGCATCTTCAAATCATGCCTCCCGCCTGATACCGCGTAATAAGGCTCACAGTGTTTGCGAAAAAAGTAAACATTTAAGGAATACTTCGTTGCTGCTTTTCTTTTTATAAAGCTATCGCGATATGCCCCTAAGAATTATGACCAGTTGTTTTATTTCTTTCGTCCTTCCTTCGCTCCATGAAAGAGCAGCGCAAGCATATGTACGGGTTCATGAAGTTCCATGATGTGGTGTAGCTAGTGCTACGCTAATAAAATAGAAGTGATCATAAACAGCAGAAGAGCTTGCTTCCTTAGTGGGAGTCATACAAATAGAACCACCCTATGCATTGATCGTATACTGGCACATGCGGCATTTTTGATGTGCGTGAAACATATTAAGTATTTTATTCATTTATAGATGCTGCGTGCGGCGAAGAGGTGGAAACTGAAGCACAACAAGGTAATTTTGCATTTAAGCAGTGGCTTGTAAAACACAAAACTCCTTTCCTAAAGAAAACCTCGCTACCGATAATAGCTTTTTGGCTGCATTTAAGAAAGGGTAAGCTAGTTGATTAAAAGTACTGCAGATATACGAGGACACAAAGAATGTAGATAGGTACTTTACAGGTCTTAAACTCTCCTAAAAATGAATATAGCAGTTCTGTCAGCTTGTAAACTTAGGAACTAAGTTGTCTTAACACTTAAGAGAATTTCACAGCCTACTCGCGCTTTCTACAATTTTAATAATGCTTACCGATATTATTTAAAACTTGTGTACTTGCTGTGTGTCATTGTGCAGCTATAGGCGAAATTCTAGTGGTGTCGTATCTTGATTTCTAGTTGAACAATTTTAAATGGGAAAGTGTTGTTCCGTAAGGAGTTCAAAAATGCATCAATGGCGTTGTAAACAATTAGATTTAATACAGTACCTGTATAAATATTTTTTCTTTAAATGCCACATTCTACGCTGGAATCAGACAGCAGCTATATTTTAGCTGCCAATTATTTACCTTTCATTCTCTAGCACAACACCTGATTTCGTCATCCCATAACTTTTGATGACATCCACTTGATCATGTTGAGTGAAGAAATGAACTGACAGTGATTTTCTCAGCATTTTAATGCTGGTAATGGCTAAACTACGCTTGGTAATGATAACAACACCAACATATTCAGGTGTCCTTTCTTTTGCACGCTAGCGCTTTGATCGGAAAGGCATCAACAAAACCCAAGTGTATTTATGTATGAGGGGGACATACGTTAAAAAGATTGCAAAATTAGAATAGCTTAAATGCTGAGGCAGCCGCTCCACAAATGCCGTTGGCAACGGCTGCTACGTTCAGTGAGTCAAGTTCTCATATGCATATGTGTACAAGCATAGATATACTTCTGACCGACGGCCGTAATCAAGAGAGAGGGAAGACGTCTTCACATAAAACCAGTTTTAAAGGAACATGTGTGAGCTTGGGACATTCATTATTGCTTCCTTCGAGTTGCCGACTTACTCTAGAGCTGTAGAGCAGCTTAGTTCGAGCGTGTAGGAAAGAGAGAGAAACTTTGTTAAAGGCGACTGGAAACTATAGCAAAGAAGGGAATGATAGGCAACAGGATGAGCGCTTAACTTCCAAGTTGTGCTTTTTCCAGAAGCCCATCCAGCACATTATAAGGCTCGCCTACGTATTCGTGATACCAAACGCATTACAATGCATTGACTTGCCCGGTCCGCAGTACAAACGTCTTGTTTGTTGTGCAAGTCGCTGCGTGCTTAAACTGGAAAGAAGCCCCTAAAACCCCGAAAAAGGAAGAAAAGTGACAGGCAGAAGCAGAGCCAACTTCGTTTCCGACACTCATTTCGAGCAAACTGCTGCTCCCAAGTCCACACACAGCATGTGCAAAGCATCCTGATTAACCGCTGCGCCAATCTTCTCCGGGAAGATCACATCTGTTCAAAAATATCGCACACTTTTTAAGTAAAGAACAAAGAAGCTGCACCTACACATTTCTGCTGACCAACTTTTCAGATGTGGTTTACCTCAATTACCTCTCACTCTGCGTGTTAGCCTTACCTAAAATACATAAATTTCTGAACAGGGGTGTAAATCCACACTGCTTGTAATGTAGCCAACGGTTATCACCAGTGCCTTAGGGTATCCTATTTGCATTCTCCCTCAAAGCACGTTATTACATTGATTAGATCGTCCAATCGCAACAAAGCAGAATGCCATACACCACTCATGTGTTGAATGCACAGTATTTATTTACATTGAAACAGGGTGTTTAGAAGCAGCAGTTCTTTATCTAGCAGCTACCAGTACTGACAAATGGCACCCTAATAACGAATTCAGCCTAAGCGCTTGGACAATCGATTGTCATCATTTTCTCGGCATCACAAGTACCCTGTGCATCCTGAAGTAGCATTCATATTCTTCACTACACTTTTCCCCTCCGTAAAAGAGCCATCCTGGTGATTCAAATCAGGAGAGGACAATAGGTTTGTAATACGGTTTCATGTGTTCAATATGAAGAGTCTCACGCGCATGGCGACTTTGATCAGAGGATTGTGGAAGCGGCTCTTCGATGTAATTTACACGTTACGTTTGTTTGACCACATGGTAGAGGCCATGATACTTGGAGGGAAGTTTCTTTGAAAGACCAGACATGGTTGAAGGGATGCAATGCCAGACAAGGTCATCGGGGGCATAATATGGAAGAGGCGTCGAGCTAACGCGATGGTGTTTTTGGTGTTGCTGATCAACCCTATAATGAGGGAGCCGGCAATTGGCGACACTGTTCTACTTAATCAGCAGCTTGTGACACCGTCATTGACTCTGCAACATCAGGGCGGTACGTAACAATGGTGCCCCGCAAATAAGACGGCTCGTTTCCGTAATGGGGGAAGTATGTAGAGAATCCAGTGGTTGTCTGTACAGCAGTGTTATGCGCATACGTCACAAACGTGAGAGTGCGGTTCCAGTTTGAGTGGTCGGAAGCTACGTGTTTTGACATCATATTCCCTAATGTCCTAATTAATTGTTCTATAATGCCGTTTCTTTGTGGATGGTATGCGGTGCTGTTTCAATGAATCATATGAAATTCCTTGAGAAGTTGTTCAACTGCATCTGACAAAAAGACGTGCCCTCAGTCTCTGAGAAGCTCACGCGGAGCACCATCACGTAGAATGATGTGATATAATGTGAAAGAACCGACGTCACTGGCCAATGCGGATTATTTTAGTGACGTTTTGTTCATAGCACGTAAGGTGATTGATGGCGACGATTATCCAACAATTTCCAGGAGGTGTTAGTGGGAGAGATTTGTAGAGATCAATAACAACATGGTCGAAGGGTCAGACAGGGCAGGTTAAGTACTGCAGTAGAGCTGGAGAACGGGAAATTTCATTCTTCCGGCGCTGGCAAACGATGCAGGATCACACTTAGTGACGAACGAAGTGGTACATTCAACGCCAGTAGTAGCGGTGCGCCAGGCGGGTGTAAGTTTTTAACACTCAAAACGGAGAGGTGGGTGAGTTGGTACTGATCCAATACAGCAAACACTTCCGCACGTGCGCAATGTGGGTTGGCATGAAATTAGGCGCATATGTCCGAACGGAGATGTTTGGAATTAGCCGGGAGCCATCGGCGTCCTTCGAAGAGATAATTTTGTCGGTAGAGTGAGCCATCTCGGACAACGAAGGGCTGTACTTCCCGGCACATGCCTCTAAGAATTCTAGGAATGCGTTGTGAGGGAGCGTGACACAACAGCTGGAGAAGCGACGAAACCCAGGCATCTTTTCGTTGCTCGGAACGAATGTTACTGACTCAAAGTGCAGATAGGTCATGGGTAGGTGAAGATGGCGGCTCGTCACTGTATGGAAAGGGTGATTGGCGTTGGTATGTCTACGTCCAGATTGATAAATAACGTGGGTGTTACACTCTTGGAGGCGAAGTGCCCAACGGCCAAGCCGGCCGGAGGGATCTTTCAACCGGAAGGATCTTTCTAGGGTGGGACCCCTAGAGACGACATGGCCCAAAATTAAAAGTTGCCTAGCGCCAAACAAGCATTTATTCAAATTCAGCTGTAGACCGGCAGTGTTAAGGCAAGTGAACACTGTTTCGAGGAGCTGGAGATGTGTTGAAAAGCCGCATGAGAATACAATGATGTCGTCTAAGTAGCACAAGCATGTCTGCCATTTGAGGCCACGGAGGATGTTGTCAATGATGCGCTAAAAAGTTGCAGGCGCAATGCATAGGCCAAACAGCACCACGTGTAACTGATATAAGCCATCAGGGGTAACAACTCTGTTTTGAGGAGGTCAGCCTCAGCCATGAAAACCTGCCAGTGACCGGAGCAAAGGTCTAGTGACGAGGAGAACTGGGCTCTTTGTAGGAATTCGAGGGCGTCGTCTAAATAAGGCAGCGGAAAAACGTCTTTGCGGGTGATCTTGTTCAATCGTCAGTAGTTGACACAAAAACATATTGAGCAATCTTTCTGCTTTACGAAACAACTGGGGAGGCCAACGGGCTAGTATAAGGCTCAATAACGCGGCGTTTCAGCATGTGATAAACTTGTTCGGCGATGATACGACGCTCAGGCGCCGACACGCGATATAGACACTGACGTAATGGTGCGTGAATGCCTGTGTCAATTTGGTGAGATACAGATGAGTCACGGGCCAAAGTTGGTTGCTGGTGGTCAAAGCTTGTGTTGAAGCGCCCGAAGAGGGCAATGATTTTCACTCGCTGCTGGGCCGAAAGACTGTGGTCAATGCAGCTAGAAAGTGCATCGGTGTATGATGGCTCAGAGTGTAATCCAGAGAAATCAATGGCGTATATACGAAGCAAAGTCGAGTGATCAGGAACCACATCTGAACAGAAGGGATCGATGTCACCGACAAGGCCTAGGTACTCTCCACGCAGTAAAGCAGAAGGCAATAAAATGGGTTAATAACATAAATGGCACTTCATCCTTCCTGAATGGTGAGAACGGCTAAAGGAATCGGCCAGAACCTTAGACAGTGGTTTCAGGCGGCGTAAAAAAACAGTTAAGCCAGAGGAGACGTCGCAGGAAAGTGGTACTCGCACAGATGAGAAAGAAGGTATCAATGTGTCGGCGGCAACAAAAACTTTTGCAGGTGGAGGTGGCGAGTCGACGGCAGCAGATGCACATAATGGCGAGAACTAGACTTCGGCATGGGCGAAATCAATGACAAGTGGAAAGGAAGTCCCAGCCAAGTATTTTGTCATGGGAACACTTCGGCAGCACCATAAACTCTACGTCATAAATTAGATCAGCTATAAGAACGCGTGCTGTGCAAGCAGCGAAAGCATAATGTTGCTAGCGACTGGCAGTACTCAAAACGACGTCGTGAAGACGCGTCGTTACTTTTCTCAGTCTACGGCAAAGCTGCTCATTTATAACAGACACTGCGGCACCAGTGTCCACCAGGGCTAAAACTGGTAC